AATCTTTTGGTACGTAATTTGCAACTATGTGTACAAATATACATAATATAATATAAATATTTTAGAAAATGGAGTATGACGAAAAAATCTAATTAATTACAGATATTGTGAAATGTATGGAGGAAGCCATACAAATTGATTCAGACGATAGTGAAGATCTGTTATATATCCGTTCCCACGACAGTCGGGTCTACGAACGGACCCGGATTTTTATCCGGCCAAGGACTGTCAACGCGGTAGAATTCTGCCGTTACAACAACAACAACAACATCTGTTATATAACCTTTGTTTTAATTTTGAATTATAAATAAAATGCATTCTTAATTGACAGAACTGATGTGATAGAGTGGCCCAAATACCTATAAGGAAAAAGAAACGACAGTGGGTTAAAGTAAAGAGTTGACAACAAAGCTGTTAAGTAAAGATTACTAATCATAATAATTAGTAATTAGATTTTTTTTTTTTTTTTGAAAGGTGAAGTAATGCTTATATTACGATTATTTTCAGATTCGTACGATTACTAATTGATTACGATCACAGATAATCGGAAAATAGTCAAGATTAATAAAAATTTCTAAAAACTAATCAAAAATAATAAAGAGTAATCGAAAAATAATTTGACTACTTTCGAAGATTACTTTTGATTGTTTTTTATTATTATTATTTTTTTGGGAAATTATGGCACTAGTGTTTCATGTTACTACTGGTGATCATCGATTTGATAATTGATAACCTGTTGCATTCTTCTTGATTCTGTATTTTGTATAAAGTAAATATTTCTCTGCGTATATTTTTTTATGAGTGTTAAGTTACACTTTACATACTTGTTATCAGGATTGGGCATAGTCACTAAAAAATAAGTACAATAAGGTTTCTATTTCTTCAGTGGTAGTTAAACAGCAAAATCCATTATCACTGAAAATTTAGTGATWGTGRAAAAAATGTCATTATCACTAAAYCTTTATTCATATTGAAAAACAAATTGCACTACCATTAAAGGTTTAGTAATAATGAACACCTTTAGTTATAATGAACATTTTTCAATTACATTACACTGTTTCTTAAAGAATAAAAATAATACTACGTATGTATATGTATAAGCTGAAGCAGTATGAGGATATGTATTGAAAATAGACCATTGGGGTATTCACAACCTGTCTTAAATCGTAAAGTCGTAAAATTTTAAATTTTTACACTTGTTTAAATAAAATTTGTTGTTGGATTACATACAAAAATGAGTTTACACATTTACAATTCTCAATACTAGGTTTTCGAATCTTTATAACTTATAACTTTAAGAGACATATGAAAACCATAATTTTTATTTAAACAAGTGTAAAATTTTAAAACTTTACGACTTTACGATGCTTTAAGACAGGTTGTGAACGCCCCACATATATTTGAGTAGAGACTTCTAACTATGCCGCACTAAAATTAGGCAAACATAATTTATTTTTTATTTGCTTTCTTTAATACCAACATTTCGAAAGTACGGTCAGTGAGATTTTGTTTGCCATCGGTTGACAATTCCAAAAATAGTACTCACTTAAATATTGCATTACAGTTACTCAAATGGGAGTACTCACTTAAATATCGAATTTTGCCACACTGAGCAATAGGCTGCATAAGCTATGCAGATCCCAGGAATTGCAACAGTTATCATATCTTATTTTAAAAATAGAACAGAGGTTAAGAGAAAGGTTCCAACCATATTTCATGTTGAAACCTGTTTCATCAAAATGAGATGGKTCAAGGTGTTGCTGAGATTAAATCCGGAATTGCCAGAATTAACTGTCGAAAATATAACCAGCAGAGTTTTAGAAACACTTTATAGGTTTTACGCCAAAAAGTGTAAAACATTTAATTTTGAAAGGAAAATTAATAATGTGTCGACTATGCCCGATTTTTTTTATTTCAGTGATGATGGTGAGCTTATGCGTACATTCATTTTGTTTTTCATTTTAAAGATTTGACTTTGTAGATGATGAAATTGAAGTAAGTTCTTCTCCACAAGAACAGATTAAAGTTGACCAACGATCCGTAGTAAAACATCAGTTCTTCAGCTATTTAAATGACAATGCAAGTGCTGACGAGATTTACCAAAAATATGACCTATTAAGGGAGGCATCCATTTTTTTTAACATGCCCTTAACGTCTTCAGCTCCAGTTGAACGACTGTTTTCATTTGCCGGGATCGTCAACAGTCCAAGGCGGCAATCATTGTCTGATTTTTCTTTTGAAAAATTAGTTGTAATGAAGGCCAATTTTAAATATATATAAATTATAAAACTGTTTTTTTGTGAATTGAATGTATTTGTTTTCTTTATTATTTTTCCACGTATTTTTCCCTTTTTTTGATTTAGGAAGTACTAAAATGTTATTGGTTGTTTTGTTATTGAAGTGATTACACCTTTATTTTGTATACAAAAACTGTCTAATTTTGTTTTATTTGTTCGGAATGTTTTCAATGCAAATTTTTCAAAACGAAATGTAAGTATAAAATGATGAGCTTTCAATTTTTTTTCAAATAATCGAAAATAATCAAAAATAGYCCTTGAAAGTAGCCAATTGCTTTTTTGATTACTTTTGATTATTTTCTCGTAATCCTAACTAATCTTAATTATTTTTGGATTCTTTGTAATCATAATTAATTAATAATCAGGAATTGTTAAAAAGAGAATTATGTAATCAATACCATTCCTTTTCAAACTTAATCTAATTTATTACTAATCGTAATCCAAATTCAACAGCAATGGTTGACAATGGGTTAAAGTAAAGTGAAAGAGAATGAGAAAAAAACTCGAACAGAGTTGAGCAACACAAGTTGCTCGTGTGAATGCAATTGGAAACAGCAAAAGAGAAGAGCAAATGAGCTTTCACTGACAACTATCAAAAGCGGCATTCTCTTGCTCTTGTAAGATTGCACGATGACACAAAATGCAAAAATTCTATACTGAAATATGCAAGGCCAAGAGAGCACACATTGTAGAATCTAGTGATATAGAACGGCACGAAAATAAACATTGGTTTTGATCTAACATATTTAACATCCATTGCAATAAATTTATCTGCGTGTGTTTGTTGTTGTGCCGTTGCACCAAAGGAAAAATACTGCAATCTCTGCTAGTTGCAAGGTTTTCCAAGAATATGAGTATATCAAGCGACAGCTGTATTTGTATGTGGAATGTAAGTTTTCAAGTAGTTTTTAGCGAAAGCAGTGTTTTCGTTTGACAGGTTTTACATGGACGAAATCGTGTGAAAACCAGTTTTTCCCACGAAAACATGTTTTCATTGTCGGTCGGAACATAGTATAATATTTATGTGATTGTAATATAACATTTTTATATACATATTACAATTTTATACTTTCCTTCTCCTTCTCCATATTTTTATATTTAAAATTTGAGTTTTGGATATAAAGTGGTTACATTTATTGGTTATCATGCAATCATATTGAAACAAAATTTGAATATTCGTACTGTACTTGTATACTTTACACTTTATTACCTAATATTAGTATATAATATTACTTTTACATATGTATATAAAATATTATTATATAATATTACTTATTTGCTTAACAAATTTAAAAAAGAAAATATCCATATGCATGAATAGATGGATTTTTGCGAAAACAAGGAGTTTCAGCGAATTGCCTAATCATCGCATGGCAGCGCTCCATTGCATCGTAATTTTTGGTAAACAAATGAGGTTCAAACGAGTGTAAAATGTAATTTTTAAAAACCTAAAAAATCTGTTAAAAGTGTAAAATGTGGATTTATTTAAAAGTTTATAATGTAATTTAATTAATTTGTATAGTAAAGTTTAGTTAAAGTTAAAGTGTGTTTAATGTGGTGAAACAGATTCTTGAAATGTTCGAATATTGCTAATTTTTGAACTTTAAGGTCAAATATCTCGCAAAGCGTTTTCGGTACCTATATCTCTAATATTTTTTAATCAGGAGGACTTGTTCTTTCCAACGGTACTTTCAAATCGCGGCGCCAAAGAAATCGGAATTGTGCTCTGCAGCGCGTCTGAGTTGCTCTTTAACACTTTGAAAACCTAAGAATAAATTAAATTATTAAATATGCACCAACTTTAATAAATTACTTACTTTTCTTGGTTGCACATTTCTTTATTTTGTCTTGTGTGCTTTTGTAAACCAGCTGGTCCATAGTAAAATGCTTTTCAAATCAGGAGGAGATTGTTTAGGATTTTTTTCTTGTGAGGTTTGAGCTAGAATAAACTCACAAAATAAACCTCACAAAACAGTTGAGGGGTTTTCTCAGAATAGGGCTGTAAATTCACARTTAGTTAGCAATAGTTATTGGAAGGGGAGACGCTGCGTTACATGTATCGATAAATATCAGATTCAAAAGCGGTTAAACAAGCAACCAACAGCTGGTTCCTCTATTTACTTAGGAACTTTGCTTATTGGTTATTGGGTTTTGGTAAGAATTTAGAAAAAATTAATTCATATTTTATTCAATTGCCTTGCAGTAGGTGTCACTTGTAATTAAATTATTTTAAAAATCTTAAAGGAGCCTTTTTTAGTATTTACTTTCGAGTAAGTGTTGCCAAAATGAGCAAATTAGCTTATACAACTGCGAATCTTTCTGATGTGCAGTTGAAGGAACAAGGAAATCAGTTGTTTGTGTTAAGAAAATATGATGATGCTGCAAGCTGCTACACCAAAGCGATTGTAAGTTTACTTATATTTGCGATCATATAATATATAACATTTTTTAGATGAAAAATCCAAATAATGCAACGTATTTTACGAATCGGGCCTTATGTTACCTAAAACTGAAAAGATGGGAATTATCTTGCCACGATTGTCGTCGGGCGTTAGATCTGGATTCTAATTTTCTTAAAGCTCACTTTTTCTTAGGGCAATGCTTAATAGAAATGGAACTGTATGACGAGGCCATAAAACACTTACAAAGAGGTATGTATTTAAATGAAACAAATTGAAAAAACGCTACAATTTGAAATACGTGTTTATTTGATTTTTTAATTTAGAAAAGCATCCTCCGATTTCAGGGTTAAAAATGGTATTTATTGTTAAAGAAAGTTTTCCAGATCAAGCAAATATATATATAGTTGTACCTGGCTTACGGTTTATGTGATATTTGCATTTAAAGTTCCAAAATTCTATCATCCCTCGGCTTCGCACAGGTATTAAACAATCATTTCAAAAGTTATAATGGGGAATCTTTAGTTTACCATTCCACGATTTCAGGGTTAAAAGTGGCATGTATAGAGAAGATGCTCCAGTTTAAGAATATATACACATGTATCTTATAGTCGCCGGGTGTTATCATTTTTTTTCGCGTAGAGTATGTGAACTTACACATTTGGCAATGTATCTTCACAAAAGTTAGCACAGTTTATTTTCTAAGATAATAATGAAATATACGAACAAATTGTTCAGATCGGCTTACTATAGCATACAATTGCTATATAAACTGAACGATCGGAATCTAGTGCATTTTATATTCTCGAAATTTGGAATAGATTATATTCTAACGTAACAAATTGATAGATCAGGAATGCACCGCGACCTTAGGTCTATTGTGCCCTCTCCTAAATCACATAGACTCACTTAGCCCCAGCGCATCGATGAAATCCAATAAACTACCGGGTGCTAGTGAGGCGAAGCGATCCCTATCCGGAAACATGGGTCTTATCCTGCGTCTACAGACTGCTGTGCAGTCGATCAGCAGGTGTTCCGGTGTTTCAGGCCCCTTGACGCAGAATCGGCAGGTTGGGCAAAAGGATAGGCCCATGTTATATAAATGCCTAATAAGCTTGCAGTTTCCAGTATGCAATGTGACCAGTAGCCTGAGTTTGTTCCTGGGGAGGTTGATTACAATTTTGAAACTGCTCAAGTTGTATCCATCCGATATTTCCGAGACGTCGGTGTACCACCTCAACGTACTATTCGGCTTTGCTACCTTGGGTGACCTTAAACTTCTTCGTGAAGTTAACTGTTTTGGTAGTGCTGTCCTTCGGGAGGAGGACTAATGGTATATTGCTACTTACCTCTTCCATCCTCTGGGACGAGATTACCTTGTCCTTGTCACACCCCTCTGTCGTTATTTGATAAAGTGTGTGCTTGGCTAACTGACCGATAACCAAATGAAGCGGAGACAGTTCAAGCAGAACCTCCAGTGCTGCCGTTGGACAATGCGCATTGCTCCCGTCATACAGACACAGCTACGCTGTCCTGTATGTATGTCCTGTCCCAAGTCACCGCCTCGTACGTGGTTATTGGTTGCACTATCATAGTGTACAACCACCCAACGATCCTTGGCTTACAGCCCCAGGACTTTCCCGCCAACCGATTGCACACCATTAAAGCTTTTGTTGCTTGACCGAGGTCAGGTTTACATGCTGCTTCCACCGCAAAGTATAATCCAGCATGAGACAGAGGTATTTGACCTTGTTGCACATCTCCATCTCTCTACCCCTGAGATTCCTGAGACCGTGTAGGGACCTGCGTCTCGTAAACGGGACTAGGGCGTCTTGAGGAGGTTGGTATTCAATTCAATTCCTCATATTTACCTTTGGCTATAATTACAATCGTCCAGCAATTTTTAAAAATGTCGTTTCGAGAAAAAACGCGTCTATAGTTTCACTTATATGTATATGTTTGCACCTCCGAGCGGTCGCTCTTTAGAACGCTGCCATCCAGAAACTATTCAAGATACGATCTTCCCGATTTCACAGGATATTTATAGAAATATAAGCTATCGAAAAACCAATTGAAAAAATATTTTTTTGTTTTGAAATGTCACACTTTTCTAGCCACTAAGGTAATAATATAATCTCCGAAAAAATGTTCAGATCGAATTACTAGAGTATATAGCTTCTATACAAACTGAACAAATAGTATTTAAAATAAATGCATCCGAAGTTAAAGTTTTTTATTGTTTTATTCTTTTTTTCGTTTGCTAAATATGTAATTATGGCAACACTTACTACGTTGTCAACACGGAACACTTTGATTATTGTGCATATAATGAAATTTGTGTAAAAAAATAAAATTATAGTTTTAAGCAAATATCTATGTATGTAATTACTGAAAAATAAATAAGTAGTAAAGTGTAAGTGTATAAATAGCATAATATATAATAAAAGAAAGAGTTACTATAAATCGAGTAATTGCAGAATAAAATTTGCCTAATTTTCAACTTTAAATGTAAATATCTTAAAAATTATAAGGGGGCTATAATTTCATATATTCTTAATAGTAAATCCGCATCTGCTCTATCCAACCATATCACTTTTACCCTAAAATCGTGGGATGGAATTCTAAAGCCGGTCCATTATCATTTGTAAACACAAACTTTCTCGTTTGCGCGAACATGAAAGTTTATTATTTTGTATTAATATTATATTATTGTTGTACGAGTCAGAGTGGAACCTAAGTTGCCTAAGCTCCTGGGGAGGTCCTCTGTTGGCCACTCGGGTTGAGTGGCGGCACTAGCCGTAGAGGCTAGTGTCACAGTATTGCGTAGGCAACATGGGGTCACGTAACTCATGAAACCCTCCCTGTGAGTCTTAAGGCATGAGAAGATCTTAAGATTGCTCCATCCTTTGCATGTATTACACCTAACCGAGGTGGAGCTTGGATGGAGCGTTTTTGTGCAAACGCAGCAGAAAAATTCCTCCGGGCCCGGGTTGAACTCAATGCCAGCACGAGTCAGGAAGATACGGAGCAACCCTGCTCAAATGACGACAAACAAAAACTAACACTTACCGATCAAAACGGGGTTAGATCGCCGAAAAAATCGCCCTTGATCGGATAAAATCGGAGTCAATTCCGGTGCGTAGAACCGGCTGTCGTGGGAATTGACTTGGGATCATCGGAATTCTCGGTATTTGAGCCATTTGAATAGCTGCTGGGTTGGTGATTATGATTGGTATAATTAAATTGCCCTTCATTTCCTTAATAAGCAGCCTCCTCCCGCTGCACTTGCTTGGAGGGCTTAAATTCCTCAAAAGCATAACTGGAATTCCAATTATTAAAACCAGTGCATATGGTGGAAGTCCATTAGCGTTTGATGAATTTAAAAGCACCTGTTGATAATGGATTGCATCTTCGATATTAGTCACGGTGTCTAACAATTTGTATTCTTTATTTGGACTTCTTGAATAATTAGATCGTTTATTTCGTTGACACTATTATTCCTGTGTGGTACTATTGCCTAGAACACAACCAATGAAATTCATTTTCGTGCAAATTCTTGATGTCATCTATTAAAAATTTTAAACTATAGACTATTTGGATTAGAGACTCATCAGAAAAAATGTTACGATTAGTGCTTCAATTTGGAGGGGGAAAAATTTCTTCCCCAAGTTTAAGCAGTTGCTGTGTAAAATCACCATCAGTGATTCCATGAGGATAAGCTTTCATATTTGTCCGTAATTTTATATTTTCAATCGAAGTTCATGAGGGCGACGATATTAAGCATGCTTTGACGATATTATATTTGCTCGCGTACTTCTGTTAATAACAGGAAGAGTCTGTCGGAAATCTCCAGCAAATACAAAAGTTATATTGTTATCAATTATATAATATTTATTCAACAACTAAAGAGTTGCAGTCTGTCAAATAATCATTGTTACCTTATCGACATGTTTTGTAAATGCACTAAAAGAAAAAAATATAATAGATTATACCCACAAAATGGATTTACGCATTCTTTTTTAAATTTTTTAATTGTTGAACAACGATTCTGATTCCTGTATTTTCGTTATAATCTTTCTTTCTATTTTATTTTTGTTGGTTTGTAAAAACACAGATTACGCTGGTAAACAAAAATTCACTTTTTTTTGCGACATGAACAGAACAAAGTGTTTATTATGTAAAAATTGCCACAAATGCAGAAATTAGTAACATATTTCTTCTATCACCTATAGCTCCTTGCCATAAGGATTTTTCTTTAAAAACAAAACAACGATAGATATATTATTTTTATGTTATTTTATTAATCAAACAGTACCCTAAAATACTACTGTCGATGATTTTCGGCGATATTTTGTTTTTGGAGTATCCCTTATATTAACAATGTCTAGCAGTAATCTACAAGCAAACTGCCACTCCACTTGGTGCCGTTTCTCCATACAGCAATGTCTTGGTGGAACCTTTCCCCATGTTCAAGATTTTTGTAATTGTCAGCTTTCACATTTCCAAGAAAATTTTTAACAACGCTTTTAAAGACTCCTGGACACTCCGTATTTTAGTTTCGTTGAACATTTCCTCAAATATTTTATCTTTCATTAGTTCTTTCATATTTTATCTCTCATTAGTTTTTGTATCAGATACAAGAACCCATGAAAGAGGGTTTATTGCCTTAACAAAGATCTTCATTAAACCCAATTTAAAATGTAAAGGTGTTAGTAATACATTTTTGGGATCAAGTAGAGGGATCAAGTAGAGGGATCAAGTAGAGGTGACGTACTGGCCACTTCTTCTGTACATAATGACAGTCTCTCGCACGGCTGTTCCATTCGTATATCCCAGTTGCATTCCAAGAAAAAGGGCTATTACTTTAAGGGCTCCAAATATTGCCCAACCATACTCATTATTATGGATGTGCTCTAAAAGAAACCTCATATTCTCATATGAATACTTCATACCGCATGCGCGAAGATATTTGTTATCGTTATGCACCAATACCACCTTTAAACTAATCCAATCATATGGATCATGTTTCTGTCCTATTGCGTTAAACAAAAGGTTAACTTCTTGACAGTATATTAGATCCCTTCTTGAAGAAAACAATTTGTGAATTCTTTCTGCCTTTTTCTGTAAAAAGTAATATTTACATCACTTAGAGAAGGTTCAATCTGGATGCTAAAAGTTCGGACTGCGATTTTGAAAGGTTTTGATCTCGAACTAAGTCATTAAGTTCACCCTGTAAAATTAGATGCGGTACT